ATTCTCCAAGCTCAGCATCATGATGAATTCGGCGCGACAACTTTAGTGGCGTTGCCGTGATGTCTTTCTACCGCCAAATAGAACCCTGTACATCCAGCAACACATGATTTTGAGTGTGCGTCAAACGAAATGTAAGTTTGCATGGCGTTATGTTTAGCGCTCACATTTCTCAGATCGTCGCCCCAATTGTGTGTGCTACAACTCCAATTCTGCATGAATTCTTTCATCCCTGAGAAGCTGAAGCCACCACAGCCCTTTCTATACCAAAGGCAATAATTGAAATAACATTTAATTCAAATGAACACGAAGCCGACACACTTGCTGTGGGCGCACAGACCTCTCTTGATGTGTCTGGTCGAAAAGGCTACCATCTGAGACACTATCCGTAAGCGTGCGCAAATAACGAAGTAAGAGAAAAGGAGGCTAAAAAAACCGAAAGGAAACACAAAAGAGCAGTGATGGCTTGCCTCTTTAATCTACCAAATATACAATTTTCCTTCGCTTTGTCTATTGGCGTGCTTGGAACTGAGAAGGAAAGGGTGATGCAGAATGAGAAGGACACACACCGCTAGGCAGAAGCAAAGCGGAGAGGAGGCACTGAGGATAAAGTAGATTGCGGTAAGGATGATGGCGTTGAGGAGCACGACGGGAATCATGAGACGCTGCACAGGGTTGGTCAGCATGTCCTGTGCCATGGTGATTGAATTCGTCCCCATTGACACGTGTGGCAATTGATCAGTGACACGTGACGCATACAATGTCACGTGGTCTATGATGGTGTCATGTTTGTTGCCCAAAGAGCAAAATGTGTTTTGGTTGGGATTTGGCACTGGAAGTCATTGCTCTTGCTTTTCATCTTCTTGGCTGGGTACGTGGCATCGAATGCCATCTAGAGTGTCTATTATTCTGGCAACTTTGGCACACTATCAAGGCTTCATTCCTCGGTCGGGAGCTATCCACTCTGGTTAGCGGGATTTTGTGACACTCTCTAAGGCGACCTTACTCTTGAGTTGCTTCTGCTCAAGTAATGAA